TGCGCCCCAGGGGCAGGAACAGCTTTACCCGCCTGTGCCCCAAGGCCCCGTGCTTTGGGGAAAACACCGCGTGCTGTCCAAGTATTGGACTCGCCAGAGAATAAAAAGGGTCTGAGCTGTCACACTGCCATCCCGCTGGGCTGCAGCGCCAGTATTTATAACGCTACCGACTTGAAACCACGCAGTAAACGAACTTCCCATTTACCACCGATGCTGTGCTTCTAATGCGAGAAACGTGAGAGGCCTAGAAGCATCGAGGCATTTCTGCTCTCCAGCTCCCATTCACCGAGGTCAGACCGAAACGAACAGAATCGCTGCTTCTCGGGAAGCTCTCGTAACGTTTGGCCTTGAAGCACTGCAGTGACCGTAGGGTCTATGGAATTTCATGCACTTGATTTTTAAACCACAGAGATTTTCCCTCCAAAATGGTACAGCAGAGTGACGTAGCTGTGTCAAGTACAACAGAACCACTGTCGCAGCTGCTTTTAAATACCTGAAATCTGTATTTTCTGCTAGCATTGCACCGCTTACAGACGCTCCCCAGCATCTCAGAGAGATCAGAAAACTTTTTAAACTCTGTCAGATTAGACTTTGTGCTCTTCCTCCTTTCAGGCCAGCTACCAAATCATCACCTGTGTTTAATCACAGACTTAAAAACCTTCAGCAGAAAGAGTTCTCCAGAATACAAAAGCGTTTTTTTCAGTAATTCCTCTTCAGGGATGATGTGTGCCCAAACCAGCCAGTCGGCAGCGCCAGAGCTGACTCGGAGCAGCGAGCGCTGTTTGTTTCCGAGCCGGTTTGCCAGGGAGCGCTGGGGCAAGGTGGGCTGTCGTCCCTCTCTGACTCGCGGTGGGGTTGTGCCACTGCCAGCCACAGCTCTGCCTCCTCTCTTGCAATTAAGACTTGGGATCAGCACGGTAATTGCCTCCATGCAGGGGGTCAGGACAGAATCACAGACTGGCAGGGGTTGGAAGGGCCCTCTGTGGGTCCCCCAGCCCAACCCCCTGCCCAAGCAGGGTCACCCACAGCAGGCTGCACAGCACCGCGTCCAGGCGGGGCTGGAATATCTCCAGAGAAGGAGACTCCACAGCCTCCCTGCGCAGC